TTCCTTATATAACAATCTCTAAAACAATGGTAGTTTTAGGTTTTTGTTGTTGTTTTTAATTCGCCAGAGGGCACATGCATCCTTTGGAGAGAGACAGACACCCAAAATAGAGTGAGAAAGCACCTCCCATAGAGCACGGTTACACCACAATCCCTTCTCCACTTCTTCCTGCCTTAGGGCTTTTGGGCATGCACACGCACCTACCCAGTATGTTTTTCTCAAGCCTCCTGGTCTGGGACTCAAAACACATGGTCAGCCAGGTTGGCAAGTCACTGTAACTACCGGGCCATGGGCTGGCCAAGATATTTTATATAGAGAAGAAATAAGTTACATTTCAAAAATTGTTTCATATGCAGTATGCAGAACAGATTAGAAGGAGCAAGTGACAGGCCTGGGCCCAGGTGAGAACCTACTTAAGTTAAGCAAACAGGAGAGGCTGTCTGCACTGATTAGTAGTTGGGAGGCTGATGAAAAGTACACAGGTCTGAGAGAGGTTTACAAAATAGGATTAAAGTAGATGAAAAATGAAAGTGAATAGGATATTCCGGTGCCTTTATTTCTTCATTGTTCTTTCTAATAGACAATAAGGTCTGAACTTCTTACCGGAAGCCTACAATGCACCAGAATTTCTGTGTGGAAAATGGATAAATCTTAATGCTGCATGAAAGAAACAAATCATAAGAGAAAGTGTCACAAACTAAATATAGGTGGGGCTGGCAGGTGGTGTGTGGTGGTTAAGGGTGCTGGACTCCCAAGTGGCCAACTGCGGTTTGAGTCCCAGACCTGGTGGCTTGCTTTCTCACTTTCTCTCTCACTCGTTCTCTCTCACTCTATCCATCTCTGGTCAAATTTTTAAAAATAAATAAATAAATGGATAAATAAAGTTAAATAACAATTATTAAAATAATAATAAAATAATAAATGTAGGTAAAGATTTCATTTATGTAAAGTTCAAAAATAGAGAAAATAAAGCCGGTGCATAGAGATGCATACCTGGGTTAAAAAATTGCAGCAAGGAAGACAGAAGTTAGGTTGTCTCACTGCTAAAAGAAGTCAAGGAACTGTGAGAGGAAAGACCACCCACAGGGATCTGAGTGCTGTGAGACCCTTTGTCACTGAGCACTAGTAACACAGTGATTTGCTTGTCATTGTTCTTATACTTAATACTGTTCTATATTGCATAATGAATTCTACATATATATTAGCACATAGTAAAAAGGTCATTAAAATTCAGCCTTGCAATATTCTTCACAATCATTTTTTTTATTTTAATTTTTACCACAGGGTATGTACACTCATGGAAAGAGAGAAGGAAAATGAGAAAGCATCCCCTGGGGAGGGGGCCATGCTGCAATCTCTCCTCTATTCTCCTCTCAGGATTTTGGGCACGCATACACAAGCACCTAGAGTGATTTTCAAGCCCCTGAGTCCAGGACTCAACTATGAAGTCGGCCATATGGGATCCAGCTGCCTTAACAACCACATCATCAGCTGGTCCCACAATCTTTTCAATCTACACAAATCTCTCATGCAGCAAAGAAATGTCAACTACAACAACGTTTTTCAGGCTTTTCTTTTGCTATACTTACATGGTTACCACCTTTTAGCATTTCTAGCATAGCCTCATGTATATTAGTACTTTGAACTATTATGTTTCCCATGCTAGATAAGGACAGACCTAAAAGGCTCATAACCTCCATGAACAGTTACTTCTGAGGGGTAGAATTTGGGGGGTGATTTAATTTTCTTCTGCATTATGTTTTTCTGCATAGTTTGCATGTTATATAATGAACATACAGTATCACTGCACAAACAAAGTGAGTTTTTGTTGTTAATAAGACACTAGTTGGGCTAACCTGTGACCTGGCAGTTAAGGGAACTGGATTCTACATGGCTGACCACAGGGTTTGAGTCTTAATCCAAAGGCTTGAAAAACACACCAGGTGT